GGAAAGGGCCGCAGCAGGGGGAGGAGCCTCCATCTTAGGTGAGGGCAGGGGAGGCGCGACACGCTGCGGAGCGGCTCATGCCTCCCGGAAACAGTCGACTCCTCCCCGCTGCCGTGAAATGATTGGCGGTGACACTCCAGCCCTTTGCGACGCAGACCTGTGGGGGAGGCGGTGCGGTGAACCTGGGCCTTCGTGCCCGGATCCAAGATGGCGGCGGAGGCACACGCCATATAGACCTCGACGCTCTAGCCCTGCTGCTGGCTGTTCTCCATGGTGCATTGGGACATTCTATATTCCGGCCTCCTGAACTTCTTGCTAGAGCCTGAGGGGGAGGGGGGACGGACGAATGAATGAACGAACGGAGGGAGGCTCAGCGCAGAGACCCCTGCAGGCTTGGGAGGCCGCTTCCTACGGGGAAGGAGAGCCTCTCGATGTTGTGTCTTTCCCACCCCAGCCTGTTGTCCCCCTCCTGGTTTAACTGCGGCTGCCTTGAGAGCCCCAAAGGCTACAAGCTCTGTCTGACTAGGGACAGTACTGAACGTGTGAGTCCCACCAGCCATGTGTGGACAGGGCGTAGGCTCACGGCATGGGAGCAAATTGTCCTTTCCCCCTGACTGCATGACGTGGTACTTCTTATGTATGTGAGCAATAAAATGAGAACAAGGAGGGAATTAACCTTCCCTTTGGGAAGGTAAGAACACAGTGTAGTGCAGTGGTTCCCAAACTTTTTGGCATCATGCCCCCTTTTTGATTTTTGAGTAACCCTCACGCGTCCAGCCGTCCCTCCCCCCCAATAGTAGCAAAACTTGTGGAGGAAAAAAAAAGGAACTGACTGGGGCCAAAAAAAAACTTAGGGAGGGGAGATTAATGGGGAGGAAGGCCTCCCCTGGAATTTCTTCACACACACCCCGGGGGGCATGTCCTCCAGTTTGGGAACCCATGGTGTAGTGCATGAGAGACGAGATCTTGCATTCCTTTTTCAATAAGTGTGAGCAACACTCATGCCACTATAACAGGGGTGGCCAACCCATTAGAGACAAAGAGACAAAATAGCGGTGGACAGAATGCGAAGAGCCACAAAGGGGAAAGTTGTTGAGCAAAAAAAAAAAAGCCACACCAGGGTGCTGGTACGTTGTCCCAGGGAGGAGGGCTCCAGGCTGGACAGTGTTGGGGTCAGCTAGAGGGTTGGGGTGCTGAGCAAGCTGCAGGCTTGTGGCTGTGAGGGTGCAGGAGTTTGAGCTGGGGTACATAAGGGGCTCAGGGCAAGGAAGCTGGGAGTATGATGGGCTCAGGGCACAGATTTGTGTTATGGATGGTGCAGGAGTGTAGTGGCAGAAGACTGGAGATATGGGGGGTGCAGGAGATTGGGGATGAGAGAGACTCGGGACAGGGGATTCCAGTGTATGATAGGCTCAGGTGTGGGGTCTCGGGGGGGGGAAGATGCTACAAACAGATGGGGGTGTGGCCCCAATTGGTGGCTTGTTGGCCATGTTTCATTTTTAAATAAAATATTATATCAAACACAACATGTTTCAGCATTGTCTTTATTTTTGAGAGGGGCGGGAAACCTGTTTTGAGTCGGGGTCACTGTCCCACAGAAAAGTCAGTCGGGGCCACACAAGTGAGATGCAAAAAACAACCCCTCCATAAAACCCCAAGCCTCACTAATGTGGCCCCAACCGTGCTGGTGCAGCAGGGGCAAGGTGCTTGGGCAGGGTGCTAGGGCAGGGGACAGGATGCTGCTGGGAGGATCTGGCCAGGGGGAAGGGACAGGGACAGCTTGACTGGTACCTGGGGATCTCGGGTCTCAGGAAGCACACGGGCTACTCTTCCCCTCCCCTCTCCTTCCTTCTCTTTTCATAAACAGCTGGCGCGCTTCCTGAAACACCGGGTCTGTTGCTCAGCCGGGGACTTCCTTCCCCCTGCTGCCTGCCTGTGCAGAGTGTGTGTGTGTGTGTGTGCGTGTGCATCTCCCTTTGTGTAATAGCTGTGTGTGTGTGTGCGTGCATCTCCCTTTGTGTAATAGCTGTATGTGTGTGTGCATCTACCTTTGTCTAATAGCTGTGTGTGTGTGTGTGTGTGTGTGCATCTCCCTTTGTGTAATAGCTCTGTGTGTGTGTGTGCGTGTGCATCTCCCTTTGTGTAATAGCTGTGTGTGTGTGTGCGTGCATCTCCCTTTGTGTAATAGCTGTATGTGTGTGTGCATCTACCTTTGTCTAATAGCTGTGTGTGTGTGTGTGTGTGTGTGCGTGCGTGCATCTCCCTTTGTGTAACAGCTGTGTGTGTGTGCGCGTGCATCTCCCTTTGTGTAACAGCTGTGTGGTGGTGCCCTGGGTCCCGGAGCTGCTGCCACTACACGCATCTTCCTACAATCGCTGGGTGTGTGCGCTGAGCAGCTGGCTTTGAGCATGTGCTGGCCAGGATGCCATGCACACACACCCCAACCTGATCCCCCTGCCCTCCCCTCCCCTTCTCCAGAGCCAGGCATCTCTCCCCCGCTCTAATCCAATTCCCTTCCCTCCCTCCTCCACCTTATGCCCAGGTCCCAAAGCCCTCACCGCTGCCGGAGCTGCTGCCTGCACTCAGTGCTGGCTGCTAGCACGTGCAGGCTGGGATTCTGACTGCGACCTGGCCTGCATGTGTAGGATATGATGATGCGGTGCGCTGGTGGCTGTGAACAGAATGGTACGGGCCGTGAGCACACTGAGAGTGGCCCGGCCATGACCTGAACAGTTCCGGGTTCCATCCTGGTTCCGTCAGGAGCTGCAAATTTTTTCTTTCTGAGGAGCATGCAGCTCATGCGAGCCGTGGGTTGGCCATTGCTGCACTAAAACATCACGTTTGAAATTTTGTGATGCAAATTTGAAATACAGTGGGATGCTAGGTGTAATGTCAATATAAGAATATTTATCCCTGGGGTACGTACAGCACATGCATAAACAATACAACAAGATTGGACAAGAAATTTGGTCTCCGTGCACATTTAGACAATTCTATGGTTTTAAATGCTAAGACTGCCAAGAAGGCAGCAGCGTTTGGTCATGACTTTCATGTTGGCCTTCTCTTCTAAGAACAGGTCTGAGACAATCAGTCTTGTCACATTAAGTGGGTCACAGAACAGCTTTTATTAACTGCTGACCTGGGCAAACGTAGAGTGAAAAATTCCATATGACCATATGTGTCCATAACCCTTCAGTTCCTCACCACTACAGCATTTTTAACTCTTCCCTTGTTAAGGTTGAAATTCTTAAAATCATATCATTTTTAGAAACTGAAAAAGATTCAGGAACTCAAAGGGGTCTAATCCCAGGTTAGCCCCTTTTGATTCTGGGGCATTTATTGTGTCTGCAGAGTCAATGTGAAGTGACAAGAATGTTTTGGGAGATTTTTATTTGGAATATTACCAGGTTAAATCATCACTGCACTTCACCTCATCCCTCACATCTATGTTGAAAGAGGCCCGATGACTTGGAGAGCATGGTGTTTGTAAGTTTCTTCTATGGATCTCAATTGCTCCTTGAGCTTTTGGTGTTCTTGGTACAGATGAGCAACTCTGTCTGTAGCTCAAAGTATTGGGGAGCTCATGGGTATGTCAGGCTCAAATTGAGAATGAACGTTGTTGTGCTAAGGTATAAATTGCATTGTTAAGGGTGAATTCCACAAAATGAAACAGATAAAACAATTGTCGTAGTGGTAATTCAAGAAACAATATGGGTAATGTTCTAAAACTCAGTTGACTTGTTCTGTTTGCCTATTGGGCTGTAGGCAGAAAAGCAGTAGGCAGAAAACATGAGGGACTTTATGCTGAGAAGCCATAGAAACTCTTGTGGAAAACGTGAGAGAAACGGGAGACCATCGTCCAGCATAATATCAGTTGGTAGCCCATGATAGGGGAAGATATTTTCCAGAAAGAGATGTGCTATTTCTGTTTTCTGAGGCAGTTGGGATGGTGCAATGTGAAACAAAATGTTAATTTTAGTTAGGAGATTGACCATGATTAGGATTACCATTTGCTCTTGAGATTGAGGCAGCTCCACAACAGAGTTTATAGAATCAGTTGATCAGGGCTTGGGGGGAAGTGGCAAAGGCTGGAGAAGGATGAGTGGTTTCAAGTGCCAGCTCTTTGTTTGGGAGCAAATGTCACAGAGACTTGCACACCTTTTGATGCATACACGAGCCAGAACACCCGAAATTCTGCAATATCAGGCCTTACACACTGGATTGGCCAAACTGATTTGAGACTGGTATGTTATGACAGTTTCAGGACCCGGAGGCTGTGTCTACACTAGCGCGTTCTTGTGCAAAAATGGCCGCTCTTGCACAAAAAACATGCCGCCTGTCTACAGTGGCCGCACGTTCTTGCGCAAGTAAACTGACGTTTTACTGTAGAAAATCAGGGATTCTTGCACAAGAACTCTAATGCTCCCTCTCAGGAAGAAGCCCTCTTGTGCAAGAGCTCTTCCAGAAGAGGCCAGTGTAGACAGGCAACATGAATTTCTTGCGCAAGAAGTCCCTATGGTTAAAATGGCCATCAGCGCTTTCTTGCGGAAGAGAGCATCTACACTGCCATGGATGCTCTTGCGCAAAAGCACATGCCAGTGTAGACACTCTCTTGTGGAAGAGTTTTTGCACAAGAAGCTGCCATTGTAGATGTAGCCGGAGTCTAAATTGGCCCACCAGAACTTAAATACAATCTTTGTTGTAGAGCAGGGCTACTCAACATGTGGCCTGTGGCCTGTTTGTTTGTGGCTCGCGGTGCGGTTTGGACAAGGCTACTCAACACATGGCCTGTTTGTTTGCGGCCCGTGGTGCAGTTGCGATTATGCCCAACATGCGGCCCATGGGTGGGATCCTTTGAACATGACCTTGTGCTGGGGCAGACAGACCCCACACTGAAGGGCAGAGAGTAGCCCAGGCCCAGCTGGCTGAGAAGGCCTTGCTCATCCAGCTCTGCTGGAAATTCTTCCAGCAGAGCCAGAGTATAGAAAAAGAGAGAGCCCTGCAGGGAGGGAGGCAGCTGTGGGAAGGAGTAGGTCAGCAGCTAATGCCAGAGCTGCAGCCTGCAGCAGACCCAGAGCAAAGCCAGCAGCCACCACCACCTGGGAGGGAGGAGCGCCTGTAACCCCAGCGCCAGGCCCGGATAAGGACCAGGCTTGGAGGCAAGCAGACTACAGGGGAACCAGGGCGTGGTAGGAAGCAGCCCAGGGCAAAGGCCTGATAAAGCGGCTTGGTGTGTAGCGGCCAG